AGGTAGGCAAATCTAAACATTGTTACTGGCATAATCAGACTATCTAAGCTTATATATAAAGCACCTAGTTTTTTATATATATTACACCTGCAAGGGGCCTGTGGGAATGAACTCATAGGGTTTTGTTAAAAAACGGTGAACAAAGGTTGAGCTGCCTGGCAGGTATGAAGTCGGTGTCCCATTCTCAGCCAGGTCACCACCTCAAGTGGGTCCCAGGAGTTCTCAGGCCCTCCCACGCCGGGCTTCCCGGCTGATGCCCAGAGCCTGAGCCTGAGCCTGATTCTGTGTGCTCCTCCCCTCTCTCTCTGCCCCTCCCACTACCATGCTCTGTCTCTCTGTCCCAAAAATAAATAATCATCGTTATACTTAAAATAAAATAAAAATAAAATAAAACAGAACAAAGCGTGTGACTTGAATAGTCAGTAAACACAACAGGTTGTCAATTCTTTCTGGTCTTGGGAAAAGTTCTGTGAGAGCCAACCACACTCTGTCATATGGAATACATGCATTCTAAGAGGTGACAGCCTTCTTATATTCTTATATCTAACATTTCATCAACTTTAATCTGAGGTTGATATATAAGATATACACAAGAAATTAAATTGGCAGTTGAGGTTGGGATATATAAGGTTAAGAACACTATCGTACAAGAAGGAAATAGCCTAAAAGAGTACCTAAAAATATATAATAATTTTTTTTCCGCATTTTTGACAACAATCAGGAAATGTAAGTTATTATGCAAACTGGCCAAAGGGCAGTAGAATGTGCCACCTAAAAGTATGTGGGATATTTTTACATGGAGGCACTCAAGACCCAGCAGAGTCAGGGAAAAACTTCTTTATTGCTTCCTTAACTGCCTAAAAAGAATGTAAATAGATTCCGGGCCTGGATAGTAACAGAGATAACTATTTTCTGAAAGACTTAACTGCCTAGCAGGGGCAAACATCTGATTACCAAATGTCTGGCTTTATCTTCTTTTGTCCTCTTGCTGAATTGTGCACCTCCAACTTCACCATGTGGAAACCCCTGCATCGCTACTCCTCCCATTTCTAGTTCCATGCCAGACACAGAGTGTCTGAAACTGCCTTTGGGTCTCATATATTTTTCAGGTCTCCTGGTATACAAAAATTAAATTTGTTTTTTCTTTATTAATCTATCTTATGTCAATTTAATTATTTTACCAGCCAAAGAACCTTAGAAGGATAAAAAGGAAATTTTTCTCCCCCACAGAAAGAAAAGTTAACTTAGAAAGTTAACCACATTCTCTAAAAATTGACAGAAACTGAATTACTTTGCAAAGAAAAAAAAATGACACCATCCCTGTGTTACTGACCTAGAGTGAGAAAGCATTAGAATATCTGGGGTTTAGCAGACAGTGAAAGAAATGAAAACCAGGAACAAAGCCCAGGTCTCAACTCAGCTACACAGAGCCATGCCCAGTTCATCTGTGGATAAACGGAGCTTCTGCTTAAGATTACACCGCAAAATTGGTACTCCCTAGAGTGCCACATCAAGAGATACAAATTTCCAGAACCTAGGGGTGCCTGGGTGGCTGAGTGCTGCCAAGCTTTCAGTCTGACTTCAGCTTAGGTCATGATCTCATGGCTCTGGAGTTCGCTCTTCACATTGGGCTCGTGCGACAGTCAGAGCTCGGAGCCTGCTGATTCTGTGTCTCCCCCTCTTCTCTGCACCTCCCCCTCGCTCATGCCTAAAGCCCTTTTCAAAAATAAAAACATTAAAAACAAATTTCCAGAGCTCTACAGGTAAGGGCCCCTGGGGTCCCTGAGAGGTAGTTGTACCTAGAGAGCCTGGGCCAGCATACAATTTTCAAACAAAAAAACTGAACACACAAAAGCATGGCCTCTCTACCCAGGGAAAGCTTAACTAGAACATCACTGAGGAGACGGTGTGGAAGCCCAACACTAATCCAACACAGCATGCAGAGCAGGAGGATTCCAAATCTCCACCAAGAAGCGCTCAAGAAAATCCCACCAACGCCTCCAGCGATGGCTGTCAGGAATCAGACTACCGTGTAATACAGAAGAAGAAGATGAACTGTTGACCAGAGGCTGCTTTTTCTCTACCACACATGCTTTTCAAATAATAATAGCCCAATTATCACCAGAGCCGCTAACCTTACCTTTCTTGTACTGAGGGGGTGACATGACACCAGCATGGCGGTGGGGGGTTGTTGTTGTCCAGGAAGGCTAAGCTCCTGAGCCATGGAACCAGTAGAACTATACCTCCCAGAGCCGTTTGAGATTGGTGTGGCTTCGCGTACACCCATAAAACAGGGGCTAAGGAAGAACGAGGGACAAGCATTCTGTTCAATGAGACATGGCCGGGTTTTGTTTTAAGGTAAAGAAAATCTTAACCCATTATTGGGTTATATATCTTGGCCCATTATTTACACACGTAATAGCACACACAATACTGGTCAAACTACACAAAGAAAGGGGGAGTGTGAACACAACACCTTTCCAATGAAACTGTATTATTTTCACTCAATTTCTATTACCATCATATTTACTAAAATCTTCAGGAATCAAAGGAAGAAGAAGTTATCCCATGAAGATAAAGCCTATGAAAAACAATTCTAGTAGCAAACCACCAGGAAAAAAAAAAAAAATACAAGCTATGGTTACGTATTTTTTTTTTTTACAGTGCAATTTAAATTTCTAACCTACAAATATATGCTTCAGCTCCCAGAATTTACACGTATTAGGACATTTAGAGGAAAGAAATAATTACCTGAAAGACAAGAAAAATTTAGAAATCATATTAAAATGAATGCGATATTAAAGTACTAACTATTGGATACGCTCTTGCATAGAGGTCAGTTTCAGCTGGTAAGTTGTTAACTGTTAATTTCATAGCTGACTCTAACATCCTCATACTTCCCACTGAAAACAAGAAGAGTATACTTTTGTCATTGTATCTGATCTGAATCTCATCACACTCAATTTGTTACATGAGCAAAAATAAAAAGATAAAGCAAAATAACAAACTCTTCTAAAGCAAAAAGTGACCTTTATACCTTCCTTTAATTCATCCTTTTTTGTCCAGGATGAATAATTAATCACTGTCTTCACCCACTAAAATACCTAGTAATATATTTGGGGCTTAAAAATTAAATTCTTTGTTACAGAAGCATTCTATACTTTGAGGAATGAAACATTCTTCACAATATTTTCTTCTCAATCAAGAAAAAAATACAGTAATTGATAAGGAAATGCATATTTTAATTCATAGTTTATTAAAGCAAGTTTAAAGAGTTTGAGATCAGGATTATTTTCACTCTTCCCTTGATGCTCCAGTATACTCCTTGTTAATGAATTAAATTAGGATTTTTTTTCAGTAATTAAAAACATTGTTACATAAAAGGCAGCCCAAAAATTCAAATCAATTCAGCGAGCATAACGTATACAGTCATTCCCCCCTTATCCGTGGATACTCTTTTCACGGCTTCAGTTAGTTACCCCGTGGTCCGGAAACAGATGATCCTCCTCCTGAGGTTCATCAAAAGGTCAACAGTAGCCTAAAGCTCACTGTGTGCCAATTCCTACCTACATCACACAACTCACATCATCTCATCATACAGGCATTTTATCATCTCACATCAGCACAAGAAGGTAAGTGCAGGACAAGAAGATATTTTGAGAGAGGGGGACCACACTGACATAACTTTTATTACAGCATATTGCCATAATTATTCTATTGCATTGCTGTTGTTAATTTCTTACTGTGCCCGATTTATAAATTAACCTTTATCATAGGTATGTATTACAGGAAGAAACATAGTATACATAGGGTCCAAGTACTGTCGGTAGTTTCAGGCATCCACTAGGGGTCTTGGAAAGTATGCCCCACGGATGGGGGAAGGGGAGGAACTATGGTATTTCACTCCCTGAATGGTTTTCACCGAGAAGATTGTGGGAGTTCCTGTTTGCAGTCTCAACCTCCTAGGACTAAACAGACATTTCAATCTACATATAATATACCACAGACCTGCAGCATGATTTATAGGAAACATCGTCAACCACCAATACCAAAATCCACATATTCTTACACAGATGTCCTGATTTCCAACCAGTTATTTTTAGTTGGCTATCTGACCTAGCTAGCAATTGAAGAAGTTTGCTGCGCAAATCCAGTCTTGTTTCCCTCCTAAGAAGAGGAAGTTACACTCCATCATTAAGAGAAAAAATTAAAAAGCACAGCAACTAAGTAAACTCTTTACTGAAAGAACCCCAGTCACAAATCTATGAAGACAGTTGGAGATAAGCAGTTACTTAATCTACTTAAGAGGTCATAAATCTCCTAGCAGAATTTAAGCAAAAAAGACCACAGCGCCTGAAAATAGCAACTATAGCAAAATACCTGTTTTCCAGAATCTGTGTCCAAAGAAACAAATGAAGAGACCAAGCAGGGCAAAAAGGGTGAAGAACACTTTGGTTGACACTCTTCCTAAAAGAAACAAAAATTTAGTGGATAATAAATCCAGTTTGATCCTGGTATTAGAACAAAGCATCACGAAAAAAGCAAAGTGAACTGACAATAATTTATTTCACAAATATATATATTATAAACTTACTTTAAAAATACCCTTGCCAGCCCTAACCAATTATTTTATGTGGGCAATGAAGACCAATGCTACTGCTATAACCAAGAGAGTAACCAGACAATACATGCTTCCTGACGAGGTATGTAGCTCTATTGTGACATATTCTTGGGCTCTTGTGTGTGAGCGCGCACGCACGCACGCAACTAATAGTTCTGTTTCTTCACAAACTACAAGAAAAAAGGAGGGCAACAAGGGGGAGAACTAGGGATAAAAAGAGATTTAAAAGACACTTCAAGGGGCGCCTGGGTGGCTCAGTCAGGTAAGCGTCCGACTCAGGCTCAGGTCATGATCTCACTGTTCCTGAGTTCGAGCTCTGCGTTGGACTCTGTGCTGACAGCTGAGCCTGGAGCCTGCTTTGGATTCTGTGTCTCCCTCTCTCTCTCTCTGCCCCTCCCCGCTAGCACTCTTGCTCTCAAAAATAAACATTAAAAAAAGGTTTTTTTAGGGGCGCCTGGGTGGCTCAGTCAGTTGGGCGTCCGACTTCGGCTCAGGTCATGATCTTGCGGTTTGGGGTTCGAGCCCCGCATCAGGCTCTGTGCTGACGGCTCAGAGCCTGGGGAGCCTGCTTAGGATTCTGTGTCTCCTTCTCTCTCAGCCCCTCCCCAACTTGTGCTCTGTCTCTCAAAAATAAATAAATGTAAAATAAAATAAAATAAAAATTTTTTAAGACACATCAACTAAATATGATATACAGGCCTCATGTGAAACCTAATTTAAATTTTAAAAAACCTGAAAAACAATTGGGATGATTGGGAAAATGCAAATACTGGCTGTTAATTTGATGCTATTAAAAAATTATCTTCAAAAATTTTCACTGAAACTTATGTTGGTGATACTGTGGCTATTACTTTTTAAAAACGGCACTTATCTTTAAGACACACACATACACACACACAGAAATTCTGTGAGGAAAAGGACAGCCAGGAATTTGCTATTAAAAGAAAATCCAATAATAAAGGAGGGCCAGGGGTGCCTGGCTGGCTCAGTCAGTAGAGCATGTGACTCTTGATCTAAGAGCTGTGAGTTCAGGCCCCACACTGGGTGTAGAGATTACTTAAAAAAAAATCTTTGGGGTGCCTTGGTGGCTCAATAGGTTGAGCACCTGACTTCAGCTCAGGTCATGATCAAGTAGTTCGAGACTTCAAGCCCCACATCGAGCACTGTATTGTCAGCCTGTCAGCACACAGCCCACTTCGGATCCTCTGTTCCCCTCTCTCTGCCATTCCCCCACTTCCACTCTCTCAAAACATAAAAACATTAGAAAATAATAATAGGAAATTAAACTAAAAAATAAAATCTTTAAAAAAATAATAAAGGAGGGCTGGGAGACAGAGACCCAGGTGTGCATATAGCTGAAACAAAATAATAGCCATGAATCAAAACTGTTAAGGCTGAAAAACTGGTATAGGAAGGTTCTTTGAAGCTCATCATAACAAAAAATTTTAACCAAAACTCACATTAAAATAAAAGAACAGGCATTACACTATATATCGCACATGAACAAATTACTGCCCATCTTCATTACACATACCGCTTTTGAAAAAAATTGAAGTATTCTAACAATAAAGCACAATATGCTTCATGATGCCAAAGAATCCCAAATCTCATGGTCCTTAATAGGCACCAACTTATAAATAACATGAACTGAAAGATACAGCTTACTAAACAGAAAAATGAACGCACTAAATTCACCGTCATGACTCCTTGTGAGATAAACACAAGAAAATAACCCCTGAACTAAAGATGAAAACACCTGTACAATTTCATGTGAAAAATGTTTTAACCTGCCACAGATCAAAACACATAAAACACTTAAGGGTGCTCAGATGCAAATACCATGAAGAGCTACATTTAAGTAAGAGACACAAGCTAGAATTTGCAGGGTATGATACATACCCACACAGCAGTGTTTCTGAGAACAAAGCACCCAAAAGAAAGATGGAACAATAGATAAAATGCCCTGTTCTGCTTATTTCAGACCTGTGGTTGAATGCTGTTCTATGACTTAATCTTTATACCACAAACATGGAGATTGCTGGGATAATTCTTTTTTAAATAAAATGTAGTGGCAGTTTCAAGCATAATCATCAAGGTTAGAAAGATCTGCTTCCCCAATAAAACCTGACACCCACAGTTAGATATTCCTCCATGTTATTAGGCAGCAGAGAGAAACTAAACAGAACCCCCTATCACACAGTACCAGGAAAGGACAGAAAAAAACATCCAGGTAAAACCAGACAGCAGAAGGTTTCATAACAGGTAGACCCTAGAGACAACACGAGAGGCGAAATGGGCATTTTGGGGGGCAGTGTAGACAAAGGAGTGAACAGATGGGGAGAATGGAAGACAGTCCAAGTGTAGAGGCTCTTCAATCATCACAGTATCACTCTAGGTTATGATACACAGGCCAAGGTCTTAATTAAAAGGCAATGTGGGGCACCTGGGTGTCTCAGGCGGTTGAGTATCTGACTTGGGCTCAAGTCATGATCTGATGGTTTGCAAGTTTGAGTCCCACATCAGACTCTCTGCCATCAGCGCAGAGCCCACTTCAGATTCTGTGTCTCACTCTCTCTGCCCCTCCACTTGCACTCTATCTCTCTCAAAAATAAATAAACATTAAAAAAAAAAAAGGCAATGTGGATACTTCCTCCCTATTCAAGCTCAGGAAGGACATCCTCACATACATGGAGCTTGAAAATGAAAGCAACAACTGGACCAGTGTTACTAGGAGGGGTCAACTCTAGGTTGGAGTAATAGGATCAGAGCTCTCCTTCTTAGGCTAACACATACAGACTGAGACCCAGGAGAGAGAGGCTCTGATTAGGAGGGCCTCTAGTATGGAAGGGCTCAAGGGAAGGGGAGTAGAGGAATGCAGATGAGATTAAGTCTATCAGTGAAAACACAAAATTTACATCTGCCTGGGTCTCCTACACTGTATCTCTCCAGGATCCTGAGCATGGTTGTGGAAGACTGGGTGGGATGTGATACAGCTCCAGCAGAGGAGAGGAAGCCCTGATCCCCAAACACAGTGGAGAGACTTCATTCTTTAGAGCAAAACTCTTTGATAGTGCTATTTGGACTCTTCTCCAATTTCTTTCCTCCTATTTGTTCTTGAGCATACTATTTGAGCATACCTATTTGTTCTTGAGCATCTGGTAAGGCTTACCCTAGCACTCCAATGAAACAGCTCCAACCAACAGCCTCCACATTGCTAAATCCAACGGTCATTTTTCAGTTCCTAATTTCCCGACCTCCAAACACTGGAGTGCCTAGTATCCTTAGACTCCGTTCCTTTTCTACATTCTCACTCCACAGGTAATGCCATTTAGTCCATGGCCTTAAATGCTATTAAGCTGATGACTTCCAAGGTAATCTCCAGCCCAAACCTCTCCCCTGAATTCCAGCATACATATAACCAACTGTCAATCCAACATGTCCATTTGAATGCCTCCTAAGGTTCTCAAACTGAACGTGTCCAAAACTGAACTCCTGATACATCCTCCCAAACCTGCTCCTCCAACAGTCTTTCCTGCCTCCGTGAATGGCAGCCCTAGCTCTCCAGTTGCTCCGGGTTAAAACGGCAGTCATCCTTTTCACCTCTCTTCAACCGCCTCATCTAACCCACCAGCAACTACTACTAACTCACTATTTCAAACTACATGGCAGCCACTCATGGGTCAACTCTGGGACAATCTGAACATGAAAATAACGATAGTGATAGATTATAATCCAGAGAATTAAGAATCCATGGGTTCTTGTATATAAATACATAAATTAAATAGGGGAGAAAAGAAAGCTTTTCCTTACAATAGAATGCCAACTAATAACTATGAAAATTGATGAAATTAGAAAATTGCCATTTGGCAACCACCGAGTAATGAATGTTTCAGGTGAAGATCATGGGATGCTAAACCTAGCAAGGGAGAATTGAAGAAGGGGATATCTAGCTGCATTCAGAGTCCTGCCTAAAAATACTTAAAAGGAAAATAGTTACTTTACAAAGGAGAAACCTGGCAGACACCACTATCCGAATATTCAATGTTACCACCACCGGTAATGGGACAAATAGATATAAAAGTGCCTCCTGAGTGGGACACAACATCACTTCTTTGTATTCCTGCCAAAAATGCAAACTGTGAATTTAATCACGAGGAAACATGAGACAAACCCCAACTGATGATCTTCTAAAAAAAGAAAAAAATAGCACCTACTCCTCAAAAAGGTCAAGGACTTTTTTTTTTTTTTTGAGGTTACTTATTTTGAAAGAGAGAAAAAGAGAGTGCGCGCAAGCAGGGGAGGAACAGTGAGAGGGAGAGGGAGAACCCAAATAGGCTCTGTACTGTCAGTGCAGAGCCTGATGTAGGGCTTGAACTCACAAACTGCAAGATCACATAGGTCAAGGTCTTGAAAGACAAAATGAGACTAAGTAATCGTTCCAGATTACAGAAGACTAAAGAGACATATCAGTTAAATGCAACATGTGATCACATTTTTTAAAATAAAGGCAATCAGTGGAATGACTAGTGAAATTTGGTAGCGTCTGTAATATTAAATAACAGTGATGTGAATTACTGTCAATTTTGTGAATTTGATCTTTTTACTATGCTTACATAAGAAAATAAAATTTAAGGGAAAAAGGTCTTCATGTCTGCAACTTCCTCTCAAACAGCTCACAGGGAAAGGTAATGTATGTGCACATGAGCGCACTACAGAGAGTTACAAAGCAAACAGCATGATAACGTTAACATTCTGAGGAATCTGGGTGAAGATTATGCAGTAATTCTTAGTATTTATTCATCTTTTCTGTGAAACTATTTCAGAATAAAATGTTAAATACACACACACACACACACGATCTTGCAACCCCTCAATGCCACCATTCTATCTAAACCACCGTCCTCTCTCATCTGTATTACCATGGCCTGCTAATCAATCTCCATTTCTGACCTTGCCCTGACTTTTCTCAAAAAAGCAGCCGAGTGATACCGTCAAAATAGGAGTTGGATCATGGCATTCCCTGCTCAAAACCTCCAAAGCCTTTCCATTTCACTCTGAACAGAAGCTGACTCCCGCACTGTGACCTACGTGGCTGCACCTTTCACCCTCCCCAGTCTCCTCCAGCCACTTCTCACAGAAGTTCTTCAAACACACCGAGAAGGCTCCTATCTGAGGACCTTTGTTCCCTCTGCCTGGCAGTATTGCTCAGACATGTGTGGTTCCCTGCCTCGCCTCGGGTCTCTACTCAATGGTTAGCTCCCCACCATGGGCTTCCCTGGCCATCTCTCTCAAAACTCCCCCCTCACTGCCACTTGTTATCTACCTTCCCTACGTAATTTTCACTTCTTAGTGCTCATCAGTTTCTCACATGATGTGTATTTTACAAATTTGTCTTGTCTGGCTCATCTCCCCTGCTGGAACATAAGCTCCGAAAGAGCAGGTGTCTTGTCTGTTTTGTTCACTGCTGTATATATACCTGTGCCTAGAAACAGATGGAATAATGTAGGGGCTCAAAAGGCATCTACTGAATGAAGACTAGACAAAAGCACTTTTTAATATTCTTATGTTCTGTATTGGTTGACATAAACCTGCAAAGTCGAAGAAGAAATTTCAAAGTTTAAATCCATATACTCACCAAGGGAAGAACAATTACCCTCCACAGCCGCAAAGCTGCAAGCATATGTATGAGCAGGAACATAAGCAGCAGATGTATTTAGAAATGGATCCCGAACAACAACGTTATAAATGACACCTTGTCCTCGGAGGGAGGAGAAGGAAACAGTTGTCTTATCATTAGCTGTGAGGGTAACCACCTGAAGCCAAAAATAATCTGTGATTAGTGTTCAGATTTTTTAAAAAAGCTGTGCTATTATAATCCCACCTACATGTGATATTAAATTGTAATATTAAGTTATAATTCCTGTTTAAAATACATACCGACCCATTTAGCTCTGTCAAAAGATTGTCCTACACAGTTTATATATATGCTACTATAAGGAAGTTCTTACACAAAATGCTTCTAAAGTTTTTGTATAGCATCAAATGTCAACGATGTAAGTAAAAGTGTAAACACTAGGACAAAATTGAAATTTTTTTTCTCATATGCTAGATTATAAACACAAGGGCAAGAGCCAGATTTATTATGCTCACTAGTCCTTCTTCTCTTCATACTCAGCACAATGCTTGACACAGAGTTAGTGTTCAACAAATGTTAGCTATTGCTACTAGCTATAGAACTGTCATAGACAAGTGTTTACTAACATCTCACAGGACCCATTTATTTTTGTGTAACAGACTCTGCAGTAAGAAAACATTCCACATAGTTGTATTATGCAGTAGTCTTTCACTTCAAAAACTCCCTTTTAAAGCTTGTTAATTTTTAGATAGGTAACAGAAGATATGTGTTTTTAGATATATGTAACAGAAGAAACAAAGGCCCTACATGGCCAGAATACACAAATATGTTCCTGCTAATAAAAGTTAAAACATTTAATATTAGAGTTTCAGGAATAATTACAAGCCTCTTAGAAAACTTCTGTTTAAAAATATTGCTTAGCCTTCAAAAATATGTTTCTGGCAAAGGACTGGTCAAGTTCAACAAAATGTTAACATTACCTCCTACCCCCAAATTTTTTATTATGAATAATTCAACCTTATAGAAATGTTGAAAGAATAAAATGAATGAACTATATATACCACCACTTATATTTAACAATTGTTAATGTTTTGTATTTCTTTTATTCCTCTCTCCTTCTTGCTCTTTTTCCTGCTGAATCATTTTACAGTAAGTTACAGATACAACATTTCACTCCTAAATGCTTCAATGTGCACACTCTAAAACAGTGTTTCTCAAACCTAATGTGCCTGTAAATCACTGGTAAAACTTGTTATAATTCAGATTCTGATTCTGTTGGTCAGAGGAGGCACCCGAGAGAGGGTCCACTTTTCTAGCACTCTTCAGGTGATGTCAATGCTACCCATTCATCTACACTCTGAGTAGCAAGGCACTAAGTGCAAGGGTATTCTATAAATCCCTAATGCTTTTGCTCACCTAAGAAAATCAATAATCTCTTATAATCTAATACACAGTCCATATTCAGATTTTCCCGAATGTCTTTTAAAGCTGTTCCCCACCGCTTAACCAAAATCCAACCATTTTATGCATGGTGTTTATCTCCAATCTAGGATCATCCTTCCCATCACTCCCTCCTACCCATCCAATGACCTTTAAGGAGATCCAAGAACAGTTGTCTTATAGGGGCATCTGACTGGCTCAGTTGGTAAAGCATGAGACTCCTTTTTTTGTTTTTTTTTTAAGTTTATTTATCCATTTTGAAACAGAGAGAGTGAGTCAGAGAGAGAAGGAGAGAGAGAATCCCAAGCAGGCTCTATGTTGTCAGCGCAGAGCCCAATACAGAGCTCGAACTCACGAACTGGGAGATCATGACCTAAGCAGAAACCAAGAGTTGGATGCTCAATGGACTGAGCTGCCCAGGTGCCCCAGCATGCGACTCTTGACCTCAGTATTGTAAATTCAAGTCCTACATTGGGTGTAGAGATTACTTAAAAATAAAATAAAAAAAAAAAAAAAACAAAAAACAAAACAAAACGAAACAAGAGCAGTTGTCTTACTGAACATTCCACAATCTGGATTTGTCAGATTGTGCTCAAGGTATCCCACTTATTCTTTTATCCCACGTATTTTCTGCAAACAGGAATTACAATGGACTGAATTCAGTTAAACATATTTTGCTAGAATACTTTATAGATGATGCTGATGATGTCAGATTGTGCCGTATGAGCATATAACGCAAGCCAACCTGCCATCAGTGAATCTAACTGACCACATGGATAAGATGGAGACCCTCAGATCATTCCATTTCAAAAGTACTTTTCCCTTTGGCAATTAGAATTAATCTCAGCATGCTATTTAGGCATCCTGAGAATATCCTGTTCCCCAACAATCTTTCATCTGATGATCCTTGCCTGAATTATTTCACTAGGGTTCAAAGAAAGGTGATTTTCTAATCCTAATACTCCTTCTACATATATTGGCCAGTATTATTCAGTAAAGAGCTTTCTCTCATCAACTAGGATGAATTTCAGTTCCTCTTTTACAAAAGGCAGTGTAAATTCCTTCCCTGTATCAATTTCCAGAGTAATTTGGTAGAAGAATCTTCTCCAATGATAGCAACTGACGAGTTTTCTTTTTCTTTTTTTAAAAAAAAAATATTTTTTTTGATGTTTATTTATTTTTGAAGGAGAGACAGAGCATGAGGAGGGAGGGGCAGAGAGAGAGGGAGACACAGAATCCGAAGCAGGCTCCAGGCTCTGAACTGTCAGCACAGAGCCCGAAGCAAGGCTTGAACCCGTAAACCACAAGATCATGACCTGAGCCAAAGTCAGAGGCTTAACCGACTGAGCCACCCAGGTGCCCCTCTTTTTTTTTTTCTTTCTTAATATCAGTGTGGTCTTGTTTTTATTCAAAACTTATAAGCAATCATTATTCTTTTTGATGACCGAATTGTCCCAAAGTTGGCCAGTATAAACCTCTTCAAAGTCTCCAGTTTTTCACACATGTCCTCATTAGTCACGGAGGGTTTCCTTCAACTCTGGCATACAATATTCTAACTCTTAACTTAAAGTTAAAAAGTAACCTAAAAAGCTCCTCTTATATGAATTCTTGTATTCTTCATGAGAATACAATCAATCTTCAAAATTTTCTATGTAAAAAGGCAACTGGTAAACTTATCCAAAAGACCTTCCAAATTTGTGAATAAGCACAGTGAGTTTTCTTGTATAAGGCTCCTTCTTAGCATGCGACCATGACATCCTAGGTGACATGGCAACAAAATGAGATCTTGCTCTTCAACAGACTGAGGCCCCTGGGCTAATCACGTATGCTCTGTTTCAGTCACTTCTTTCTACCTAATCTGTAACCTATCAGCCCTCTGGGAAGAATCAGAGCAGTCTATAAAAACTCTACCCATTAACCATTAGACTGAAGGATGAACCTGTAGGTTACACTGCTTTCAGGTACCTTTTAAGACATAAATCCTGCCCTCCACAAAAATGATCTATAGCATGAATCTCAAATTTTAATATGCATAGGAATCACTTTGGGACCTCAAAACTCAAATTTTGATTCAGTCGGTCCTGGGTGGAGCTGAGGAGTCTGTAATTCTAACAAACTCCCAGGTGATGCCAATGCTGCTGGGGGTCGGTACCCTACACTTGGTATACCAAGAGTTTACAGGGGTTCAAAAGGTCAGAGAAAACTTTTGCTCCAAGTTAGAGGCTTTGAGTTTGGGTTTAAATATTAATGACAACGTGTGGGCACCTAGGTGGCTCAGTCAGTTAAGGGTCCAACTCATTGGTTTCAGCTCATGTCATGATCTCAGTCTGCGAGGGTTCGAGCCCTGAGTCAGGCTCTGTGCTGACAGCGCGGAGCCTGCTTGGAATTCTCTCTGCCCCTCCTCTACTCATGCTTTCACACTCTCTCAAAATAAATAAACCTTAAAAATATATATATATTAATGACAATATGTACATCCTTAAACAGTTTCTCATTGTCTTTTGTCAAAACACTGTAACTTTTACACTTGCCAAGTTTTTTTTTTTTTAACATTTATTCATTTTTGAGAGACAGAATGTGAGTGGGGGAGGGGCAGAGAGAGATGGAGACGCATAATCTGAAGCAGGCTCCAGGCTGTGAGCTGTCAGTACAGAGCCCAACGTGGGTCTCTAACTCACGAACCGTGAGATGATGACCTGAGCCGAAGTCAGAGGCTTAACCGGCTGAGCCACCCAGGCGCCCCAAAATGTAATACAATTTAAAGCACTTCCTCAAAAGCCAACACTACTCTGGGATATCACTAACAAGACAATAATGAAATAAAAGATAATAAAGTGAGAATCCCAGAAAGACCAAGGACACAGTAAAGAAATAAGCTCCAGGAAGCTTCTCCCCTTCCCAGCTCTTACAAATCTGGCCCACACAAATTGTTAAGAACCAGATTTACCTTGATAGCATTGGCCTTCACCTGAGGCACCTCGGCCATCCTCTGCAGATGCTTTAGCAACCCCTCTTCGGTGAGGTCATTCTCAGGCAGAAAATACTGATAGACATCATACAGCAACCTCCACCTAGAGTCCTGTTCCATCCCAATGTCACATGGCGGAGGATTTGTGCCTCTAAAGTCAACCAACAAAATTGAACATCAATCTCTTGTGGTGCATGTCCCATCTATAAAAGGAACCAAAAGCTCAAATTTCAAACTTCTGCATCGATTCCAATTTTGGCATTGTGAAGAAAAGTAACATACTGAGAGGCAGTATGGCTAAATAACCAGATGCTAATAATGTCAGTCAGGCCTGGAGTGAAATGTAGCTTCGCCACTTGTTAGCTATGTGTATGTGGGCATGTCACTAAATCTAACCCTTAGGGAACCACTCTATAAAATAAAAACACCACCTCTTCTGAATAAAACTGTTAGGATTAAATGGACAAGAAGATACAGCATTCAGCACTATGGATGATGCACAAACAGCATTCAAATGTTACTCAATGTTAGCTATCATTACTATTAAAGTACAAACTAAGGCAGAGTTTTAATTAATATAATAAAATCTTTACGAAAAGATACGGGTGTTTCATGGCTTCAGAATGCTTTCCATATTCAAAACTCATTACAGAAACTAAATGTACGTCTAAGCTCACAATAGGACTCAACATCTGGCTCTTCCTAAGAATGGAAGGGGCCAATGTTAATTGTGACAGCTTGAAGTATTACTTACAATGCTTAAATTACCTCCATTCTGAAAAAAAGAAAAAGTGAACAATTCAAGTTTACTAAAGAGAACCATGAATTTTGAGAGTTTACCGAATCTACATAGTAGCTGATCATGTATGTCCTAAAAGCAGTTTTAGGAGACAGGAAATAGACATACCTTGCATAGCCAAGGTTTGCTGGGGCAAATTTAATAGTTGTCTCAAAGAAATTATACTCCAAGTAAATGTTGGGATCAATATCTAAATCAAACTCCAAATTACAGCCTCCAGGGATAGGATCTGGATGAAAAAAGGTAAGTTACTCAACATAGAATTCTTATATATTCAAATCATACTCAGGAAACCAGAACTCTACTCTTATAAGAACTTCCCATAGAGAAGCTAAATAAATATAATAGAGCTTCTGGTTTTACACTACCACATGAACTGAGATTAAAGAAGGAAAAGTTAATTGAGGTTAGCAAGCAATTTCTGTAAAAGGGTGTGATTGGGAACATTTCAGGTTTCACACACCTGGCCGTTTCTGTGGCAACTACTGAACCCTGCCCTCATGGCACGAAAGCAGCCATAGGCAGTAACGTAGGCAAACACGGCCATTTCTAGTAAGAGTTTATGTACAAAACATGCAGACGCTGGATTTGGCTCATGGTCTATGTTTGCCAACCCCTGCTCTAGACTTGAAAAGGTCTGGAAACAGATACTCTTGAGCTGGTATCCAAGAATGGGCTCCAGGGGTCCCAAGAACACCCTGAAATTGTATGCCAAGTGTCGAATGTGTGCATGTCCTAAGGAGAGAGGTTTTCGTTAGATTTTGAGAGTCTACAAACCCACAAAAAGAGCTTAAGAACCCAGGGATAAAGGGGAAAAAACACTGCCAAAGAGAAAAGGAACTCCACAGTAATAAAGAAAGGGGTGTCCACTTTTCACATGCTTCTTTCAACAGGAAGAAAGATGATGTCATCCTCAGTGCTGAAACAGTATGTGTATATAAAGTAGTAAAAATAAAAGACTCTCAAGATCACATATCAGAATAGCATTTGGATATTTAATTAAATACAAATTTTGGGTATTCCACTTACATTAATAATGTGGCTAAAACAGCTCTTTTTTTCTCATTAGGAATCCTATTCATGCCCTTCAGCATGACAAAACTTAAGTCACTTGACATGAGCTCAACTCTATACGAAGAACTGTATATGGTGGACTCAAATGGAAAGGTTGAGATAAGACAGATCAAAGTAAACCAAGTTCAAGATCTACAAGATCTCAATTTCACACACACTCATCCGATCAATCACTCCCATGGTTGGGTCCTGGTTTCCGTAAACTGATGGAATTCTGGTGGTTGACTTCCCCTGGCCAGTTCTGTAATGGAGAAACTGAACATGTGCCTATGTTTCAACATTGCTCTTCTTTCATACTCTCCTTTTCCTGCATTTACAAATCTTTACCACACCCGAGAAAAGGATACGGATTGGAACTGAAGCCGTACTGTTCGTGATTTTTCTTTATACGCTGTCCTCGATAAAAAGTCAAAGGCTCTGGTTTTCCTTTTCTAAATAAATTACCCTTTGCTACATATAACACAAGGAGTGGTCGAAATTTCCTCACCTCACCTTCACTCCTCAAGCACTGTAATCTAGTTTTCATCCCCATTGTGCCACTAAAATGAGTGTCATTAAAGGCCACTGCTGACTCTTCACTGCGCTATCATATGGACACTTTCAGTCACTTCCTTGACTCCTCTTTAGTCTTATGCTTATTCCTCAGCAGTTAGCATCCCCCGAAACAGTGCCCGACATGTGGTAGGCACCTTGAAAGTATCTGCTATTATGTTTTCCAGATAAGTCTCTAAGTACATGCCTAGACAATCTTACTCACTTCTCTGGCTTTTACTAAGAACCTTTTAGTTGGACATCTAACCTCAGCGCTCCACTCCATACCCTTAAACTCCCTACTATGCCCTTCCATCCAGATGTCCTGTAAGCATCTCAGATTCACAGTGTCCCTAACTGTAGTCACAACTACCCCATCCTTATCACCTAAACCAATCCAGCATCACAACTCTATCTCAACCCTACCTATTTTGCATCACTATCTCCCAGCTAGCCAAATGGGAAGCCTATATTCCTCCTTTTCATAATCCATAACCACTGGTCATTGTGTCTTATCAGTGCTACTTTCCAAACACCTTCTCACTTTGAGCGCTTAAAGGTATGCTGAGTCTTGACTCTGCTATGCCCTCTCCAAATACTCCCCACACTGCTTCTAGAGTTAATTTTCTGATAGCTGAAATACAGATCATTCCTCTGCTTAAAAGTGCAACGCTCCTTCAGAATAGAATGTAAACCTTAAATTGTACACAAAGCCCTTCACACTCTGGCTCCAGCCACACCCAATATTCTGCCATTCTCTAAATACTCTCCATTCTTCTCCCATGCCTTCCTCTGCCTGGAATAATCAGATAAAGTGTTAAGGACGGTACCTTGCCTTTCTGTTAATGCTTTTTCAAGGGCTCCTTAAATTTTTTTTTTTTTTAATTAATGACTGCATTCTCCTATGCCCCTACCTGGGCTTTCAATCATCATGCTCTGATTCCTTTGCTGTTAAAATCTTTGATCCAATATACTGTACTTGCAATAAACACTTTTAAAAGGATTATAGTTTCCCCTGAATTTTCATGAAAAAGTTCCACAATCTGGAGAGTAAATAGAAAGTCGAAAACAGGAAGGTTACCTCTTTCTGAATAGGAGAGTGGAATGGCCATGTTTTGGACAGGCTCAGCATCTAAAGTCTGCAAATACAAAGTGCACATACTCTGCTCTGGTCTAAGAATGAAAACCAGTCCTTTGTCAGTGCCTGTCCCTGAGGTATTGGGAAGGAGAGTCTGCAATAAGGTAAAAAAGAATCATCATGAATAAGGAGTTGAGCGAAATATTTAAATTCCAGACTTGATCTAGTATGCATGTCCTATTTCAAACTTTCTCAAAACAAGAACAAACACAGACCTTCCTTATATAATTAAAGAATTCTTTTCATGTCTATATATGGGTGCACACACGTACACATGGAAGAACTACTGAAGTATATGACCTTTGATAGGAATAGCAGATGCACAGTGAAATTCTCAAGTTTTTCAATTCCCCAAATTAAGATTTCCTATGTAAAGTACTAAGACTACTGTCAAAAGAAAAAACAATTCAGTAGAGAGTTTGGTGTCCTTTATTCAAGGAAAAACAACCCACAGACTGGGGGAGAACAGTGCCTTACAAGCAGTGGAGCACTGTTCCTGAGGCACTGGGGGCAAAAGTGAGTTTTATAGCTCACTTTGGCTAGGACGTCAGGGATTTCCTTATAAAGGCTAGCAGGTCCTATTTCCTAAAGCTAGCTAGCTAAAGCAGAGTTGTAGCACTGTGACTAGCATGCTAGGTTTATCGGACAGGAGAAGTGCAAGTTGACTCAGGTTTAGATTTGTGATATGAACCGGGCCAGTGAGCCAGCCTCCATCTCGTAGGTCCAATATACAAATTAACTATCACTACAAAGACAAAAAGATGAGCACTGTCCCTAAACTGGAAAGTTTTTTAAATAAAATGAGCTATAACTGACATATTATAAACTACACATAAAGAATACTATAGGGGCGCCTGGGTGGCTCAGTTGGTTAAGCATCCAACTTTGGATCAGGTCATGATCTCAGGTCATGATTTCGGGAGTTCAAGTCCTGCTTCAGTCTCTGTGCTGATAGGGCGGAGCCTGTCTGGGATTCCCCGTCTATCTCTCTCTGCCCCTCATCTACTCATGCTATCTCTCTCTCAAAATAAATAAGCCTAAATAAGTAAATAAAATGCTATGTAAGTACTGATATACATAGACACTTGTGGAACCATCATCACAATCAGGATTATCCTCCTTATTCTTCCACTCAACCATTCCCTAACTCCATCCCTTCACCCCAACAATCTGGAAAGCTTTTTGAATAACAAAATACTAAGTTAAGAGGTAGTAGATTCAGAGCGTTTTCTTAAAGCTAAGAAAAAGCGAGGAAAAAGCGTCAGATGGGTTTCAACTTGACAAGCCTAAGGGAAAATGACTCAAATACTAATTGAGGAACTGCAGAGTCAACAGTTTCAAAGAACCACCTGCTCTGATGACCTAAAACAACCCAAAGTGCCACACTTCCTCCGGAAGGGTATTGGAAACAGACACTATTCTCTTCACACGGACCACTCATCTTTAGAGCTATGTGCAATTCTGGTCATCAGTTTCTCAGGAGTATAAATAGAGTGACAACTATGGCCCATCCAAGAAAGGAAGAGGATTATAATTCAGGATAACTAAAATCTGCCCTACATAAAAACGGAGGCCCAACGTGCTGTTCATTCAGGCCACTTCAGTCACATAGTTATGTGGACATTCCTTTGTCCAAGCTGTTTCCTCAAACGTAAAAACATGCATTAAGGCTACTTTGTTGAGCTGTTGTGAGAATTAATTACATGGAAACCAAACACAGGGGTTCCTAACTAGGAGCCGCAGAGGCCCAATGAATTTCCAGAGGTGCCCATGAAATTATACAAATGTATCCATGTTTTGCTGGGTAGAGGGTCCAGAGATTTCAGTGGATTCAAAGTCCATGGCCCCAGAAGGGCTTAAGAATCATCGACTTAGCCCCTAGTAAGCATGCAAAAAAAAGTAAATCCCTTTTTTCTCAATCCTTTCTCTTCTTTCAAATGTTGTCTTTGCTCTGATGTTATTAAAGAAATCATGTGTGTAGCATTTTACTATGTCTCCTATGAAAGGGCCTGAATAGGAAGTTTCCTTTGGATTTTAGTGCCAGAAAAAAAAACTTGGTTTCCCTGAGGAACTGGCGTGATTTTTCCTTCTAAGAAAGTTAAAACATTTAACAAGCTTTGATCTCTGCTCTGGCAAAATCTGAGTGGGGGTCATAAACACCATTAACTCTTGCAATTTATATAATTTATTCCTTCTTCTCCTTGATCAAACTCTTTCATTTCTAGCCTATTAAACTACCAAATGCACTATCTCAAAACCTTTATGGCAGGGAAAAGAATGCAAGTATACCAAATATTTAGTATGAAAGGTAGTATGACCAATGCCTACAGAATATATATGAATTGGACTAAGACCACTTAGTTTAGCAAATTTCAGAATATTAAAAGATAGGCTTATAACAATAGATAGGCTTAGGACGAATAAAAAGCAGCATGACTTCATACACGCTGAAATGCATTTATTAGTGCAAGGGGATCATATAGGCTGAATAAAAATAGATTTATAAAAGGTTAATGTAAATGGCAGTTCCTTAATGAGTTGAGCAAATCTAGGGCATCTGAAACACTTCCCAAAGGTGAGGCTGAGGTTAAAGGGTTTAGTGATGATCTCTGAAATAGAGTCTTAAATGCTCCTGGAAGCACAACACTAGGCTAGATGACCTGGGTGTTGGGCTTCTTTTGTTTCTGTGAGATTCCAAAGAATAAAGTTGAATCTACAAGTGTCTTAGTAATCTTAGTAAACACTAAATGGCTGCACAATGACGGAAACCCATCAAAACGTATTCAGAGGTAAAAATCATCAAGGACCCAAGAGAGTAAGAAAAGGTGAGAAATCACATGCAGATAGGAGACATCTGGCAGAGCCCACCCTTCCCCCCAAATTCAGCACTCTCCCACCCCCTCTTTAAGTCAGAGGTCACCACACTCAAGAAAGGCCCAACATGGGGCGCCTAGGTGGCTCAGTCAGTTAAGCCTCTGAATTCAGTTCAGGTCACGATCTCACAGTTCATGAGTTCAAGCCCCGCATCGGGCTCTGTGCTGACAGCTCAGAGCCTGGAGCCTGCTTTGGATTCTGTGTCCCTCTCTCCCTCTCTGCCTCTCCCCCTCTTGTACTCTGTCTCTATCTCTCAAAGATAAATAAACATTAAAAAAAAAAATTAAAAAAAAAAAAAAAAAAAAAAAAAAAAAAAAAAAAAAAAAAAAAAAAAAAAAAAAGGCCCAAGACACACAGACACATGCCTCTTAGCCAGTCTAAATCACTAAGTTGACTGGATCCAATCTTGATTTTTTTCTTTTAAGGGCATAAAGTTAAACATAAAGAGGAATGCAATTCTCATGTTTATACTAAATACAAGACCCTCAAATATGGTGTTTAAGAAATAACTCTCTGTACTTACCTTAGAAAAAGAAATTGTTGTATTCTGATACTGTGAGTGTATTTGGAAAATAAGAAAAGACACATTGCTGGAAATATGACGCAAAATGGCATCCTCTGGAAAGGGCCTGTTGAGCTCGAAGTATCTAAACTTCCCTACAGAAAATTCAAGAAGACCTGCAATGGGAGAAACATTTCATTGTAACATCTGAACCTGTAATATCAATTTGTAGAAATCACATACGTAAACATACATGCATTGCTTATTTTAATTCTCAAAAAACCTGGGGAGATAAATAATATTACTACTCCTATTTTACCGATGACGACAAATTGGCTTAAAGAGGGGAAGCAGCTAGTAAATGGTGGAACTGAGAAAGAGAGGTGTTTCAAAAGATGTGAACAATACTTAGAGTGCTGAGGATGCCTGAGGATGTTCAAGAATGCCCAAGGTGTCCAGCTCCTCGAACCCAGAAAAATCTCCCATTGCAGCAGCGATAATAATTATTCAAAATAGAGCCCTGGGGGGCACCTGGCTGGCTCAGTCAGTAAAGCATGAGACTTCTGATTGTCCTGATCAAGCCTTTTGTGGTACAGAGTTTACTTTTTAAAAAATTCAAAAAACTAAAAAATTAAAAAACAAGGGCCCCCGAATTTAAGGTTTAACCTTGAGGAGGTACTAACAACTATGAATACACTGAGGTTAAAAACAGAACTTGGAATGCCTGGGTGGCTCAGTCAGTCGGCCAAGCATCCGACTCCTGATTTCAACTCAGATCATGATCCCAGGGTCTTAGGATTGAGCCCTGTGTTGGGCTCTGTGCTGAGCAGGGACCCTGCTTGTGACTCTCCCTCACTCTCCCTCTGTCCTTCCCCCCACTTGTGCTCTCTCTCTCAAAAAAATAAACTATAAAAATAAAGTAGAAAAAAAGATTTAAATTTAATAAAGATGAAAGAGTTGGTGAGATAGATTATAGGTCACTAGCATTCCATAGTGGAACGGTTTTATTTTAAAAGGAAATTAAAGTCAGTGGGTGGCAAAGGAGAATACCCCAGACATTAAATAACTTCAAACCCATTTTTATGTACCATTTCCCAAATGGGCTAATTTTCAACATTTTTTTTTTTAAATACAAGTACTACTTCTGGATGATTTAAAAAAAAGACTAACAATGGCTAACCAAAAAAGCTGAACAGAACATACAAAGAATCCTACGATGAGATCAAAGGTTACTCTCCATAAATTCCCCAAATTCCACTGATGCCATTATATTACCTTCATAACTTTTTATAAGTGATAGAAAAAAAGTGATTTGTAGTTATGATTTAATTTCTAAAACTCCAGAGAAAATTTTAATACTGGTAACAATGACAAATTAAGATGGTATATTTCCTTCTATTTATGTTACTGGAAACACATTTTACATTTTATGTAGAACAAAACTCCAGCCAGAATACAGGTAAAAATATCAGGACGTATTTAACAAAATCTGGGTAGGAAAGTCTAGAAAATGTGAGAGAGTTTTTTGTTTTCCTTTTTATAAAGGGAAACAAGAAAAAATTTTTTACATTTTCCAGGCCTTCCCATTATCATGATTATTTTATCAGGAAACCAAATTATACATAAAATTAAGCGGATCTCAGTAAGTGGCCCTAAAAACATTGCATGTAATGTATTTTGGTCCCATCTATCCTGTCTTCCAAGTCTTAAAAATGTCCACAAATTCTAGCCTGTCAAACTAAAAACAGTATGTTTGTTTTCCCAGGAATTAATTGGATTTCCATCATTTAACTATCTGTCCAAAGCACTCAATTCATTTTTCACTTTGCATTTCTTTTAACTCCAGTGTGGTTAACATAACAGTGTTATAGTAGCGTCAGGTGTAGCACTCAGCTCATTTACCATCCTGCCTCTTCTAGTAATATTTCCAGTCTTTGTATTTGTTTGTTTTGTTTTAGTTTTTCCCTTTTCTTCCCCATTTTCTCTATTTGACAAATACTTATGAAGTACTTATGGACTACCTGCTCACCTACTGGGTACTGTGACCAAAACTGGTACAAGTAAATTTGTAAAGGTTCCCCAAGATTTCTGTAATTGTCACTAAATTTGCCCCTAAGTATATCTTAGAAATGGTTTTGATAATCTGTGTCGATCTCCCCTTACACAGGCCTTGAATCAAGACTCTATGCAGAACCTTTAGAAGCCCTGGAAGAGATTAAAGATACCACCTAGTGAAGTCCTGTGTCAAGCTTTTCTTAGCCTTCCCTTAACCTATCACACAGGGGTGAAAATAAATCACAACTCAGAAAGACTTGGAAAACCAAAGTTTTCAGTGCTTTAAAAGGCAGTAAGGAAAGACAGGACCACAGAAATTGAAATACATAATTAAACAGCTGGTAACTTAAAGTAAATAGGGGTACTGAAAGTAGGTATCCTTGTGAGTATATGAATACATATTAAGTGATTTTTCGTTTCTTCACACATCACTGTTTATCAAATTTCTGTAGTGACAGTGAGAGGTTCTTATCAGAAAGAAACTGCACAATTTGAAAAACTTCCATTTTTTTTTTTTAAATTTCCATTCTTGATGGCACTCAAAACACAGGTTCTACCTCAACACTTCATCTCAAATTTATAAAACAGGAACACACCCCAGACAAAATGATGACACTCTCAACACTCTTGTCACTCATTTTGTTTTTCCTGTAAATTGGTAATATTTGTCCAGACAATATATAACCCTTATTATAGAAAGGTAAGAAATGTAGAGAAAATCAATACCTCCATCCAAGTATACTGTGCAGAAATAATCACTATTAACACACTGATATACATCTTTTAGGACTTAGATATCATGTAATATTTCTATCTACATAGATGGAAGAAGAAATATAAATATGTCTGATACAGCCCATTTAATAGGACATACTTATCTCTGAACATCAATACAAATAATTCTAGCTTTACCATTTTATTTTTATTTTTAATTTACATCCAAATTAGCTAGCATATGGTGCAACAATGATTCCAGGAGATTCCTTAGTGCCCCTTCCCATTTAGCCTATTCTCCCTCCCACAACCCCTCCAGTAACCCTCTGTCGTTCTCTATATTTTTGAGTCTCTTCTGTTTTGTCCCCCTCCCTGTTTTTATATTATTTTTGTTTCCCTTTCCTTATGTTCATCTGTTTTGTTTCTTCAAGTCCTCATATAAGTGAAGTCATATGATACTTTTCTCTAATTTCACTTAGCATAATACCCTCTAATTCCATCCACGTAGTTGCAAATGACAAGATTTCATTCTTTTTGATTGCTGAGTAATACTCCATAGTATATATATACCACACCTTCTTTATCCATTCATCCATTGATGGACATTTGGGCTCTTTCCATACTTTGGCTATTGTGGATAGCTCTGCTATAAACACCGGGGTGCATGTGTTTCTTTGAAACAGCACACCTGTATCCCTTGGATAAATGCCTAGGAGTGCAATTGCTGGGTCATAGGATAGTTCTATTTTTTGTTTTTTGAGGAGCCTCCATACTGTTTTCCAGAGTGGCTGTACCAGCAGGCATTCCCACTAGCTTTACCATTTTAAAAGTTATATAATATTCCATTCTGTATGTAACCATTAATTATTCAACAAATCCCCTACTGATGAACATATAGGCTGTTACCATTCCAGCATAAATAGAAAATAATAGTTGTTTTTGTGAAAGAGTCTTCTAGAAAGCATATACACATATCAGGCAGTAAAACCTATTTGAAGTTTTTGCTGTGACAGTGTTAACAGATCACCTTTGATCTTCAATGGTTAAATTACCTAAGAAGTCTTGTTCTCATTTAGAAAATCAGAAAGAAAACAAACAGCCCATGTGAAAATATATAATGATCAGGACCATAACATTAAGTTACAGTCTCTGCTTCTGACTTCAATAAAAACACCTGGTTACAACTTTCATCTATTACTTCCTGGATTTCCAAAAGTTATGAAAAGATGACATCTCACTCACCCTCTTTCCCTAATCAAATACCGGTAGCAAGAACCAGGCAGATGCCAGATAACAAAGGAGACACTGCATTCATAATTTAAATAACTGATCACTTGACAAAATAAGTAGGGGTATTAAAAGGAGGTGCCTCTGGGGGTGTATTGTAAATAATTTTTTCTTTGCACGCTTTCAAATTTTCTATAGCACTCCTAAGGTGTCCTTATTAGAAGGAAATTCTCATACAGTGGTTATCCACCCTGGCTGTGTATTACAATCATCTGGAGGTGCTTTTTTTTTTTTAATTTTTTTCAACGTTTTTTATTTATTTT